ATAAATGTCTATATCTGTTCTCAGTTTGCTTATATAAGAACAAAAAATAAATTTATTTATTCTGTTCTATTACAGTATATGTAAATTAATAAGTATATATGCCATACATCCACCATCAGTTTCTATGGGCTGGGACCCAGAACCAGCTAATTCATTTGTGTTCTCATCACTGCTGATAATTTATACATTTTATTTGTTAATATAAATAGGTTATTTTTATTGCCATCTAGAAGTTACTGGGGGCTCCTTTTCTCTGTCCATTGTTGTTTGCGGGCATTTCAGAGCTTTTGGAATCACGGATTGATGTTGTCTGTTTACATTCTTCTTTGTCATTGTTGGCCTCTCGACTTTCTTATGCTCCAGCTGGAAGTCTGGATGTGTCTGCTCATCGTGTGTCCTGACCCCCAACTTAATTTCCCTGATCTATTGGTACTCACATTAGATTCCGTCCTTCTCCTCTAGGCTCCTCTGCTTGGGTGGATTAGCGCCAATGGCATCGGTGACTATCCTATGCAGGTGGGGTCTCTGGGAGCTTGGTTAAATCATTTTCTGGACACCTGGACTTCCTTCACCACAGATCCATGGGTACTCCAGGATCAGGCATTGGGGTTGGTCATTCAGTTCACATGTCCACCTCCATTATCCTCCTGATCTGTGGCGTTTTTGCCTTCAACACATCAGCGGAGTGTGAATCCTCATACTAGGGTGATAAGGGAGTTGTTGGTCAAGGGGCAGTAGAGTGAGTCAATCCCATTCTTCTGTGATTTTATTCCTTTTTATTTGTTGTGCCCAAAAAAGACAGGAGATTGGCATCCAATCATCGATATTTCTTGGATCCTCCACAGTTCACAATGGAGTCCTTTCTCAGCCTATGATGGCATTTTTCACCAGGTCTTTGGATGACTAAGTTTGGTGTTTCCATTGTATATCTCCACATTCCCATAGTGAAGTCGTCCTGTCCATTTCTACGTTTTGTGCACAAGTGTCAGGTTCTGCAGATCCAGGCTCTGCCCTTTGGCCTAGCATCTGTACCATATGTCTTCTGAAGAGTTATAAGAGTTTTTTCTCATCACCTTCATTCTTTGGGCCTGTGCACACATCATTATATGGATGACTGGTTTCTTCTGGCACCATCTGTCAGATGGTAGAACAACACACCCAGATGCTCCTTTCAGAAGCCACCAAGGCTACATTTCTTATCAGAGCAGAGAACTCCATTATATTGTTAACTCAATACATTGTCCATTGGGATGTCTTTTTCAACACGTACTTAAGTCAGGCTCAGCCGACTCCCATCAGGCTAGGAGTAAGTCAATCCCATTCTTCTGTGATTTTATTCCTTTTTATTTGTTGTGCCCAAAAAGACAGGAGATTGGCATCCAATCATTGATATTTCTTGGATCCTCCACAGTTCATTGAGTGATCATGCTCTTACTCATGTCTTCTTCTCCTGCTGTGTGGATGGTTCTCTCTCTCTTTTGGGGATGTAGGTATCCTCGATTCTCTCATTCCTTTGGGACAAGCACGCGTGTATTCCCTTTAGTGGTCACTGTGCGACCATTGGATCATGAACTCTGATCCATTGGATCATCTAGTGTCCTTACTCAAGAGCAACATCTTAGATCTTAAGTGGTGGTTGGATCAAAACAACACTACCATCGGTGTTCCTCTATTGCCCCTCATCCTGAGGTTCATCTTTTCACAGATGCCTCACTTCAAGGAAGGGGAGCATATATCAACTGTCTATGGACAGACGATTAATCTTACTTCCACATCAATATTTCAGAACTCCTTGCTGTACAACGTGCATTGGTTCAAGGTCTGCTTCACTTGAAGGGGAAGTCATGATTCATACTGATAATTCCACTGTGGTATTTTAAACTTCCCATCAAGGGGGGCACAAGTTCTTGGTACCTTTATTTTCGAACTTTGGATATTCTCTACTGAGCTTAATCCCTTCTTATTAGCCTTCTGGCTTGTCATGTTCCAGAGGTGATGATTTTAATAGCAGATCATCTGTCTTGGGCCCAAGAGAATGGGTGCCACATCACGAGGTTTTCCTGTGGATTTGCTCTCATTTTGGATATCTGATGATCAATGTAATTGCCACTCAATCAAACTCCCAACTACCAGCATTTTGGTGTCATCCTTGGGCTTTGGCAATAGATGCTTTAAGTTCTAGCTATGGTTCAATCCACTCTTTGTTGAGTGCTGTTGGTAGCCCTGTATTGGATAGCCCAACTGTGGTTTCCTCTTCTTCAGTATCTTCCAGGGTGTCCATCTCTGCTACTTCCTCTTTGGCCATCTCTGTTGAGGCAACCTCGATCCAACATTCTGCACCCAAACATTCTGAAGCACCAATCTTCATACTTGGAAAATTTGCTCTTCTTTGCACAACATAGGGGTTTAAATTCTAAACTTGCCTTGTATTTGGCTCAATCTCTAGGTAGACCCACAATGTCCATTTATCAACAGAAATGGCACACTTATTACCAGTGGTGTCTCAAGAAGAAGTTAAACTGACTTCACCCAAATGTGCCCACCATATCCAATTTTTTTGACCTGGCTTTTTGAAAAAGATCTTGCTTTATCTACTGTTGCCTTATATAAGGTATCTTTATTGACTACTTTTTAGTATTCTAAACATAGGAAGGCTTTTGAGTCCCCTTTGATATCAGGCCTGCTCAAATCTTTTTGCATCCTTCTTCCCAAAAAGCCTTTTCAGTTACCAAACTGGGATATTAAAGTTGTATTACATGCTTTGTCTCATCATCTCTTCAAGCCTTTTTCTTAAACATACTTTTGATTGTTACTGGTGTATGGATGTTGTCTGTCTGAGTTGTTTGCACTGCATGTGCACAGGACTCTATCATTCTACTTATGTCCTGCTGTACCTGAAGACTGACAGCCAGGGAAGGGGATAAATCCTTCTCACCAATTCATTTGCAGGCTATTTCTCATCTTTACAACCCCTGCACTAACTCCTTTCGAGATTCTAGAAATCGACTATTTATTCATTGGGATCCTTTGGTTTTCCGTGATATATCCCCAATTACCTTGATGAGATGACTTTGCAAATTTATCCATATTGCTTATTCTAGACTATCTGTACATGCAAGGAATCAGATTTGTCATATTTCTATGTCCTTGGCTGCTCGTTTGAATTGCCTGCTGGAGGACAATGTGTGAGCTGGTATGTGGACCTCTCCCAATACTTTTATCTCTCATTACTTGCACAGTTTGGCAGTTACTTCTTCTGAGGGTTTTGCCTACCCTCTGGCTGTGTTGATCGCATTTAATAGATTATAACGAGGGGGGAATAATTTTTTTTTCCTCTTCCTCTGGTTCTTCTTTTGAATTGTTTTTAATGCCAAGTGTTTAGGCATACATTAATATTGAAGTTAACTAAATTTTTAAGTAACTCTTTAAAACATGTACACTTTGACTGGGCCAAATTCATGGGGTTAATCTTTTTTTTTTAATCTAGAAATAACATATTTGAAGTATTTCCCATTTCAGTATGAGCTAGAATTTCAGTATAATGCTACTTTTACAGTAAATTAAAATGTAAAAATATATATATACGAATAATTACATGTTACGGAATCTTACTTGAGTAAGGAAGCACATAATACAAATATAATAATTGGTAGGCAAACAATGATTTATATATATAAAGAAAAATTTTAATGATGGTGGAATATACTACATGTTTCAACAGAACATTGGTCTGTCTGATGTTCTTGTTCGGTTGTGGTACTTGAAACTAGAGTTCCAAAGTACTGGCCCTATGTGTCTAGCAAAGGCATGGCAAAGATTTAATTATCAAACAACATGTGCAGTCAATATCATATAATGTACACCACATTGATACCCACATCATATTTCAAATCACCTAAACAGTAAACAACAAGTGCTACATGATAAAAAAAAAAAAAT